TATATTATACACATTATATTTATAAAAAAAAACTAATAAAAAAGAGGCCTACAAGACATACTTAGAGTGGCGGGCTTAGAGCAAATGAAACACATTTGAAAGTGGACCATACAGGAGCAGCAGCATGTCCTGCAGGGACGGGAATGGAGATAACTAGAACGGGAATTTCATACCCAAAAAATCAATGAAAAATGAAGGTGGACACTTCAAAGTTTAAACGATCATGTCTCCTACTTTAAATTTTCCATTGCAAGACACAAAAAACAAATCCAGTGTTGTTTTCTTTAAAGTTTGTTTCGGATCAGAAGGGGAAAAATAAATAAATAAAGAGAAAAATAAGATGATAAGAAATTAAGTAAAAACAAAACAAAATAAATTTAACTTTTAGATAGATTAAAATAAAAAAAAAAAGAAAATAAAAAAATTTCTTACGTTTACTTAGACGACTAAAAAGTATGTAAAAATATTTTTAAAAAATTAAATTTTTTATTTAATATTTTTTAAACTTTATTTTTAATCTTTAATATTATACAAATATTTTAAATAAAAAAAAATACCTAAACAAAACCAAGTCCCTAACGTAACTGTCCCCTCGCCCCTCCTCCCAATTTTGGGGTAATTTTTTAAACTAAGAAAAATCTCTTTTTTCTCTTCAATACTAAACTTTTTCTCGATTTTTTTTTATTTCTTTCCCTTCCTTCGTTCCTCTTTTGCATGATATAACATTTTATCTTGTCTTTATGTAATTAGTAGCCCGATCATAAAATATTATAAAATTATTTTAAAATGAAACATAAAATACATACTTTGTGTAGTCTAGTCTTTCATATTTTTAAGTAAACTAACTAATAATTATAAATTTATTTTACATTAATATTCACCTAAATATAATATATTAAGTGAGATAAAAGAAAATTATAAGTATTTTATTTAATATACAAAGAGGATCTATTGACATCATGAGTTAAATTTAGACACTTATTGTGTTTAAAAACCTTTCATAAAAATGAGAGTTTGATAAATTAAATTAGTGAATTATTTTATATTCTTTTTATAATTCTATATATTAATTTTACAGAATTTAAATAATTATTAGTGCATTATACAAAATTTAATATTTTTATATTTTAAAAATATATCATCCATTATAATAAAATATTTATTAATTTTATTTTTATATAAAATTTTATAAAATTAATTTACTTGAAAAAGTATTCTATCTAACAATTGAATTGATTGATATCTTAGTTTATAAAAAAATATTTAACATGATAAATATAAAAATTTAACACCTAGTCATAAGTTATATATATATATATTTGAAAAATGACATTCATCCACGTTCTTATCCTAATAGGACACTCCATCCCACTCTCATTAAATCACCTAACTTTGGAGTTTAGCATAATCATATCATTAATCATGGTTGTCCTATTATTTTCTATCACTTAAGTAAGCTTCATCTAGCTATGGTTGCATTTTAGACATATAGGGGGTTTTTAAACAATACGATTCAAAGAATCTTTATTCAATTCAGTCAAGAAAAAGTTCCAAACCAGTTGAACGCCAAGTATTTAAATTAGCAGAGCTATGGGACCCAAGAGTTAAAGTAGGAAACGAGAACTTCTAATGTTCTACTAATCGATTAGCAAACAGTAATTAGATTTAACAGGTTTTATAATAGACCTCAATCTTTAGACTGCTTCTTCGTATAAAATATTCTAATGCTTCAATAATTTTACGGCTATCACAAGTTATTTATTAAAAAATAGTAATAGTCTAATCTCTTACATAAAAGAATGACCCTCAATAATTCAAAGAGAGCAATTCATAAGAACGCAAGCGATGTGGACCTTGGGGCATTAGTAACCGTCAAAATCGTCATGAATCACGGCTTTGAATACGAAAGGCTTTTCTGTGGTGTCGCGACAACAACGATAACGTAATTAACATGGAACCTCTCTGCTTGTGCACTTCACTTGTGCAGTGCTTCCCTTTCTCATCCGGAAAATGTCATAGTGGGCTTTTCACCAACACTGATATTTGTCCAAGCCCGTTTTTGAAAAGTGCCATGCCACACCTGCATCACCACATCATGCTACTGCTCGTAGAGTAGTACTAGTTGATATCTTATTTATACGGACGCTACTCCTCCACGTGCATGACATGATGCACCACACCACCCATACAACAAAATTTACCCTCATAATCTCGACTTAGAAAAGAACAAGAGACAACATCAAAAAGGTATATGAAGTGGGGAAGTAAGATCTGCTTATATATTAAGTATCAATATTTCGTAATCTTCACGTATTATAACGTTTAATATTTTACAAGCATAGTTTAGTTAAATTAAAAGATTTCGTGAGTTTGTACAAGAATTTGTATTTATATAACTATTTAACAGATTTTAAAGCGTAATTAAATGTGAATTGTTGCATCATGAATGAATAAATAAATATTGAATTTGTTTACGATTTGATGTGTGAGAAACTTACGTGTAACTGAATCATTTTTATAAAGGAAAGCATTAAAAGAAGAAAATTTTGAGGACAAATGGAGTGAGGATATGAATAACTTGTAGCTTAATTCGTGGGGAACTGGGAGGGCAACTAGGTATAGATTTTGTGATGATAGCGCAATTTGAACCAAAAATAGTTAATGGATGTGCTCACTCTCCACTTAATAGATACTGAACCAAACAGAGTCACAGGGGCCTATGTGCTTTTGGATTTTCTACTTTATGCCATTCCCTTTCAGTCCTTTTCCCTCCCCACGAAACTATATATCAGCTCATTTCCTTTTTATTTCCCATCCCTTTCTCGAATACTCTTTCCATTCGTAATTAATGATATTAAATTTGCATCAAAATATTGCTTGCTTCCTCCTAAGTAGTAACCTAATGAATATTCCCCATTCCCATGTCTTTCTACATGCTTGTTTCACATTTTAATTTTACATAGATAAATCAACTATTCAGATCACCACTTCCAATCAATATTTATTTATTTAACAAAATTTAATGTTAAAAGAGTTATTATTAAGTGAAAAAAAAATTAATAGAGTAATACATATATTAAATTTATTAAGATAATTCTACCTCAACTTGAGTATTTATAAACTAGTCTAATCTAATACAAATCGTACAAATTTTAATTAAAATAGAATTAATCAAAAATAAAAAAAAATCGGAAACACTGAAATTTTTTTATGGAATAAGTTGAATTTAAAATCTAATTTTAAAAATTTACCCAATCTCATTTAAAATGAAATTTTTTTAATGTATCATTTTAATTGTGAAATTAAGTATCCACTTATTCATTACAATTATTATTTATAAAGTTGTTATCCTTTATTACTTTTTCATGATTTTTTTATTCTTAAAGTCACATTCAACTATTATTTTTTAGAAATATATGTTATTATTTTAATGTATTAGTTTATAAGTTTATTACGTTATATCAATTTGAAATTATCATTCTGTCTTATACTTTTATAAGTTTTATGTTTATTTAAAAAAATTTAATTATCAATATTATATAAAATAAAATAATTTATTTATTATTTTTAATTAAAATAAAAAGAGTTCAGTTTAGTTGATTTTCTTTTGTTTTGAGATATTGAAAAATAATTTATTTAAGATATTATTCATTTATTGAAACTCAAATTCGACAACACATTAAATTTGAACAATTACAGATTCTCAATGATAAATGTATATATTAATTTGAAGTTTTCATTGTGTCTTGCATTTTTTTTTATAAGTTTTATGTTTATTTAAAAATAATTTTAATTAAAAAATATAAAATGATACTAAAGAGATAATAAAATAAATTATTTACTACCTTCTAATTAATAAAAAAAATTAAGTTTGGAAGATTTTTATTTAGTTGAGATATTTATAGCTGTTATTCAAATATCTGTTCAACAAATCTTAAGACTAAGTAGTGTTAGATTTTTTAAATTATAACTCCATATTTATTTTAGAAGTATATTTTTAAAAACTCAATTATTTAATCTAATCCAATATACATTTAAATGAATCGAATTAGATTTAAAGTTAATTTTAAACTAATCCTAACTATATCATATGATATATGTATTTTTTATGGAATGAGATGATATTTTCTGTCAAAATTGATTAATCTATTAATTAAACACTCCTGTCAAATTATTGATGCATACTCAAATTTTAAAACAAAAAAGCAGTGCTTGGAAAACTAGAAAGGAAACTCAAATTTATATTGCCATGTCATAATATTAATGACATACTTAAATTAAACTTAACGTTAAAAAAAAGAAATTCATACATTATCTTATAAGAATTTTTTTTTACTTATTCAAAAATTAAAATATTACTATTTATTCCAAACATCATGCAAATGAGCAAAACGTATATGGATAGAAAGACATTTAGAATAGAATTACTTTTAAATATTATAGTATGATGGATAAAACAAATTAATGTTGTTAATTAAATACAGTTAGTAACTTAAACTATAATTTAAAAAATACAATTAGCAGATAGTGATTATTTTTTATTTTATCTGTAAAAAATAATTATATTTAATACAAAATAAATAAATTTAATCTTCTTGTAAGTTTATTATAAAAATATTAAACAATTTAAATAAAATAAATTATTTTATATATAGTTAATTATTGAATTAATATCTTTCCCAAATGAAGCTGTGTTAATGCTTCTGTAATTGATTGGGGGCCATTCAATTGATGAGAGGCCGATTCAATAACAAATCTACGCCAATATCTCTACTGTACTTACCCATATTTTCTAGCCAAAAGACACTCATTATTTGTATCACATTACACAAGTTTTTGCTGCGAGAAGACGGGGCTAAATTAAGGCTTGTATTTTCACGATGTCTATTCACTTGAATTAGCGGCGAATATTTAGTAGGGGTTGTTTATGAATGCATATAATTTCCAATGCTCTTTTAGTGCCCGTGCGAAGTGAAAAAAGCAAGATGCTCAGAATTTAAAAAGAGAAAAGAAAATTATTGTTTGACAAACTATGTGTCGTACAGTAAAACAAAGAAAATGGAAATGAACATTATTTTGACTGAAATTCATATTCAATAAAGAACTTCTAATCTCCCTGTCCATCTACAAGAAATTTCTTCCAAGACACTGAAAAAGTAGAACTTAATCCCATATGTACAAGAAGCGTGTTTTAATTTACCAAGTGCTCTGTTTTATTATAATTTGATTAGAAGAAGTTCCTCAAACAACAACATCGTGAATCACAATATCGTTTCCGAAGTCTACTTCACCTTCATTGGCTCCAACGACATCACCACCATCATTATTTTCAACCCACAATTCCATGGGCGAACACTCCATTTTGTGGCGCAATTTCCAATCAAGAGCTTGACATCCCCGAGAACAATAATTAACTTTGCTGCAAACTGAACACCGCCGAAACTCATGGGGCCGAGTCTCGGGTCGCCCGCACCCAATGTGTGCACACAGCCTCAACCCTTCCTCCAACTTTCCCAAATCTGACTCAAACCACTCCCTCAAAAACCAGTTCGCTGGCTGCATCTCTGGCAACGCCACGTTGCACCCATAGTCGCTCAGCAACGGGTACGCCGCCTCCATCAGGAACCTTGGCGGCCGCCAAGTCGGCGGTAAGGACTTCGACCGCGAGGGCGATGCCTCCTCCACGGCGCGTATCACATACGCGAGCTCGCGAACGTTGGCCTCCACCAGCAGCCTCCGTCCCTCCACGACGTTCTGCCGCACGCCGTACCCGTCCTGGAGGCAATGACCCAACTCCCTGAGCGCGTCAATGTGGCCGAGCAGCGATGCACGCGCCGACAGGGCCACGCCCGCGCGTAGGTCCTTGTCGCGCTTGGAACCCCCACTGCCGTTGAACTGAATCACCGCAAGCGAGTACAGCGCCGGCGCGTGTAGCTTCATCGCTGCCTTCGCCATCAGCGAAAGCCCGCTCCCACGGTTTTGCAGACAGTAAAATCGGATCTACAGCAAAAACTAAATCCAATTGAATAAAAAATTAAATAAAAATCTCTGCTTTTCTTCCCTATACATAATAGAAATAAAATACAATGACTAACCATTCCGAGAGTGTAACAGGCGTCGACGTTACCGGCGTTAGCACAGTGTTTAAGAAAACGGTGAGCATAATCTGACCAGTTTTTGGGTTTTATAGCAAATACTTTAGACCCAGCTTTAGACAACACCATACGATGTAATCCCAAACGATTCAGCCTCCGGCATCTGTTTAGGAAATATAAACGTATTTAGAGAAATTTAAAATTAAAGAAAAAAAAGTAAAAAATTTAGGTGAAAAAAACATACGTTAAAATAACATTGACGAAATCAGAAGGAGAAGACGCAGCAGAGCTTAGTTTGGAGAGAATAAGAACGATGAGATCGTCAGGGAGACCGTCGAATAGGTCAAGTTTGTTGGAGTGTCTTACAGGCCTTCTCATATTCCCAGTTTTTCTATAATTTGCATTCAATAACTGTTGTTGTTGTATTGCTTAATTTGATAAGTATGGAGTGTAGATGATGGTGGGGGAAACACAGCGACGAAACAACTGGTGAAGAGCCTAAGAGCTTTATACTTGTGTTTGGAGAGGAGCAAAAGTTATTGGACCCACCACGTATCACAAGCGTCGGTTTTCCATTTTTTATTTTATTTATAAAATTTAAAATCTGTAATTAGTAAAAGAAAAATAAACCATTTTACTCATTTTCATTTTGATATTGCAATATCGTATACCCATATAAATAGGATATTATTAACAAGGGTCCACGTAAGAATGGCTAATAATGGCTCTGAATGTTTGAGTTCTGAACTTGCACTCTATCTCAGTATTCCGTTCGTATTCGTGGGAGTGAGTGTGGAACCTGGGAGCGTTTCACAGGGTAAGGTGGCAACGACCGGTCAAAGGGACCACACATACTCCCACACCCTTCTACAGTTCCACTTCCCCATTCTGCTTCATGCCTCTTTACCTCCACTTGTTAGAATAATATATGTCCATTCAATCAAATGGAAATTAGATATAAACTTATGCGTCTATATATAATTTTATTTGTAAAATTCATTTTTATTTAAATTTTTATCATTGTAACAGTTTTTCATATTTATATTCCAAATCTTATGTCTTAATATTGTTATTATCGTTTTAGGAATGTACCTTACTATTTTTGGTATATTTATAAGTTTATTAATTTTATCTTAATTTAAATTTGCTCTTATGTCTTTTTTTTTCATATAAAAGTAAGTTTCTAATTAAAAAGTGTAAAAGTATAATAATACAGTAATTTGTTTATCACCTTCAAACTAAAAATAAATATAAAAACCCAACCATTCAATTTAATCAAAACACTTCCAATTAGAACAAATTAGACTAGGGATGGCAACAGGCAACAGTTACCATAGGTATTCACGTATATTTACGAATATTTATTAGAAACAAATTAAAAAAAAACTTAAAAGGTAATATAATTTTTTATATATATAAAAGTGATGACTCGATGAGAAAACTCAAAAGCTACCTGTAAAAAAAGGGAAGATCAGAGAGAGCGATTATTAAATTAAAGTTCCGAATAAATTTAAACTTTAGTTTGATCCATTTAAGCGTAAATCCATATTAGCTCGGCACGGGCTCACTTGCGTGCTGCTCGCATTGCTCCTTTATTTCTTTTTAAGTTAATATGATTTTTTTAAGTAATATAATTTTTAAAATTAAAATTTTCATTTAAAAATTAAAATAATTAAGTTATTTTCCATTGAATATTAAAAAATCAAATACCGATCCAACAACTTTGAAATAATCAACGTCATCAAATCACTTCATTTAACAAAATTAAAATAAACACTCAAAGTATCTCAAATATTTAAAAGAAGAATAAACCTCTTATTTAATCTTTAAAATTATTAATATTATATATTTTAGTTACTTAAATTGTAAAATCCTTTTAATAGTCCTTAAAAATATCTTTTATGTATCAATTTAATCCTTCAACTTTTTATTATTAAAAAATAGTAACAAAATATTTTTTTTCTTTCGTTTGATCTCCCATATTTTTTAAAGAATTCATCTGCTCATTTTTATTTCTCTTCTCATTTATCCTTACTTGACACTATTATCAACAAAAATATTACCATGTGAGACACAAAACATAAATCCACCATCCTTCCCATTCTCTAATGCTCAGCCTAGCAATCTATTTTCATTCTACAATTTCAATTGCAACAATAAAAGCAAAAGCACTACACCTCAAGGCCATTGTAGATACCAAATTCAAATCCTCCAACACCACCAAATCAATTATGAAATTGTTTACGGTGAAAATTATAAGTATTAAACAAATAAATTTAAAATCAATCTTAAATTAAATTTTAGATTTTTTTAAATTCTTTTAAGTGTGTTGTAATTGTAATGATTGAATCAACGTTATAAAGTATAAAATTAACTTAGTAGAAGGATAATGAACTAATATTGAAATAAACTTACCATATTACAAAAACAAAATAAAGTGAACTAAATTGTAAAAAGTAAATTACAGAAACGTAAATGTATGACTTTCGCTAGGAACAACGAGAATCATGAGTCTCCTGGTTGCCAGTGTTTAACTTGGTGCAGAACTTCAACGTATAGAGAATCTAGGTGCTAGTATATAGTGTAAAAAGGCATCATCTGCAAATGTAAAGTTGGTACTATTTATAGACAGACACATGATAATCACTCTACTTCTTTCTGGGCATCTCTTGGTAATTGCCTTTTGCATGTGCTTTTCTTCAATCGATGTCACCCATGATCAGCTCCATGTGTCTTTGATCTTCAATTGATGATAACCACACTGGTGATAATCGTCAGTAATTACTAATCTACAACTACTTTAAGCTTTACAATTTTTTTGACATGTTTCTTCATCTTTTGGACTTTGCTCTATCACTTGGATAGAATAACTCCCTTGTCAATTTCTATTTTGACAAGTTTTAAGCATCAAAGACCTTTTTTTATTGGTTCCTGATTTTTTCAATCTTGGATTCAACTTTTTAAGATTCCTTGAAATGTGACTCTCTTTTTTATTTAAAATAAGACTCTTCTTATAAACCTTCAAAATTTCTTGAAATATCCCCTTTTTAGTGAGACTTGAAGCCTTTCCTGGAATACTAGAAGATCCTCAAAATATGACCCTTTTGTTATGTAGTTAGGTTTCTCATCTATTAACATAAAAACATATCGAAAGGCAATCATTTTGACAAACTTTTGAGGTATTTTCTACATGTTCATAACCAATCAAAATATAGTTGTTTGATGTTACACTTTTTTAGTCAAAGTCATCTTTAGGCTAGCAATTCTCTAGGTGAATTTTTACTCTTGGAGGTCTAGGCTATTCTCTTACCATGAAGTCTGGTACTCGCCTTTGTTACTTAGTAAAATTTCCCTTTCCACAAATAGAAGTACTGCTAAACAAGGCCATTGTCTCACCCCCACACCTTGTTGGCATCTTTAAGACTACCCTCACTGCCACTAATCAGTGCATCATTCTTAGTGGTGAACCCTCTACGAACACCACCACTATTAGTAAACACTACAAGAACATTGCTTAACATTCCTTCAATTTGATCTTTAATTTAATCTTTAACACTATTGTGCAAGGCACACCTTTATCCAGGATGTTGTTTCTAACAATAGTCACTACAAAAAATACGTGAAATAAGGGAAAATTTTACATATGGTAAAAAGTATGTTTATATTACAGATAAAATGGTATATTTTAAAATTGAGATTTTTTTTTGGGATAAATTTATTTGTAATTGTTATAGTAAATACTCACTGTTTGGCATGTAATATTCATAAATGAAAATTACATGTAAAAATTAATAAAAAAATTTTAAACTAAATCATCAACGGATTTATAAATGACTTTATCTATTTGTAATTTGAAATTAAGGTGCAAAATATTAGATGTGAATTATAGACAATAATTTTTTTTTGTAATATTGGAACATAAGTTTGTCATTTCTAATACCTTATTATATCTGTAAATGCATAAAGAAATGTAACGTTTCATTAATGAAATTATAAACAAATTTTCCTTCTATAATTTGATTAATAAAATGTATGGATTTTCTTGTTTATATTTTAATTAATGAAACATTGCATTTCTTTGATGCATTTACAAATGAATTTTTTTTGTCTATAACACCCAAAACATAAACAAAAGAGTGGTTTAAGGAGAATATGCATGTTACAAAGTTATAAAAGGATGTGCTCTAAAACAGTTTTAGGATTGTGATGTGTATATTTATAATTTATTTATCAATATATATTTTTCATTGTTTGATTCAAATCATAATATACGTAAGGAAATGTTCATATATTAAGAGAGATTTTGTCAAAATTTACCTTAAAAATGAATAAAAGAGGTTTATACATGAGAAATTCATGAATTAAACGATAATACTTGTCGTGTATAGATTAAATAGCACTTCACTTCCTTCATGCCTTACATGAGTACTTGTGTACGATCGAGTTTCAAAATTTCTCTGTAAAGAACAAGACAAACATGGAATCCAATAAAGGTGACATATTGTATGCTGGTGACTTCACGACTTTAGTTAACACTAAGGCCAACTTAGTTAGTGATTTCTAATTTTGTTTTGAATTTTATGTTATCCAATTTATCAATTGAATTTGATAAGTTTATTAATTGGAATTGTAGAAGTTACTAAAAAAGTCATCTACACATGGAGAGGTGTTCAAGGAGATATACACTCGCAAAAGAGACAAAAATGTATGCATTAATTCATGATCTCAGATAACATATGTAAGTATAGTTACTTACATTATATTTTTTAATTAAAAATTTTTAAAAAAATTGAGAGCTTAATATATAATTATCTGCACTAAATTGTAGGCTAACTATGTTCAAATGTTGAAAAGGTTGCATCTACTAAGAATCTAGAGTCTATTGATGAGAATGATATGTGGTCAGGAACGATGGATAATTTTTATAAAAGCTGCATTTATGGTACGAGGGCTACTTTGCAAACTTGATGTCCCTTCTTTTGTGCTTGAGAAAGTAGATGACACATTTCACACCTAAGTCCATGCCTTAAATGAAGAGGCTAGAGGCAAAACGTAGAGATATGGAAGAAGAAGGAGACTCTATGGAAGAAAAAATGGGCTAAGAAAATGGAGCAAAAAGTTAAGAAAAATGTGGCATTGAATATGCAAAATAATATATGAATATAGTAAATGCATGCATACTTTGAGCTTATAAGAGCAAACAACTCCATGTTTCCTCCTCCTCTACTAGCTCTAGCGCCACTAACTTTTGGAGTGATGTGACATTCATCCTCCTCCTCCTCCTCTGACAATAGTGGTATTGATGATGATGGCAATGCAAATCTTGATGATGCCAAGTACTCGTGATTATTTTTGTATTTCTCAAGACTTTGTTGTTTTATTGTTTATATTATTATTTTGAATGTTTACTTCCATTATTGTAATGACATTTTTTAATTTATAAATCTTTTAATTGTTTTTTGAATTTTTAGATTTTTATTTCATAATTTTCTCTATGTTTATCAATTATTATGATAATTAGCAAAGGAGAGTAATAATTATAGAAGTAAACAACAACA